TCCCCCACCCCCACCCCGCCCCCTGCAAATGCCACTGATTAACTTAAAATAAACTGTGTCGGTGTTTGCGCGCCTGTGTTAGCCGAGGTTGAGCAACCGGCCGGGAGGCGAGTGCGCCCCGGGGGTTCACAGGACAGTGCCCGAGGGCCCGCGGTGGCCCCACTGCCTGCATGACCGGGCGGGTGGACGAGGCGTCGCAGGAAGGGACCGGAGCAGGTACCACCCGGGGCCCCGGGGCCTCTGCCCTTCTGCGCACAGACGTCCACCGTCGCTGAGCGAAGACGCGCGGCGGGGCTTCGCCCCAGGACGGAGGTCGCTGGGTCCCCGCCTTGGGGCCCGAGGCCGGCAGCCCCATTTCGGTTTAACTTTAACCGGTTGGTCGCGGGGTGTGTATATTTTGCAGAGAAGATGGAAAACACCTGAAGTTTATTACAGGACTTAGGTGCTTGGCGACGAAGCCAAACCCTCCCGTGTCAGTTTTCCTCCTATTTTATTTTTTTGTACCAGCATCTTTCCTTTCTTTCATTTTTACGGGAGGTTTTCGAATGTGCAGAGATGAACGTCTCCGGATGGAGAGCTCGGTTTCGATTCACCCCACGGACCTGAACTTTGGGAGCGCCGGCTGCTGGGAAAGGGGCGCTGCTCAGACCCGGGTTTCAGGGACTTGAGTTTCTCCGCCAAGGGCTTGGTCGCTGTGGCTCCACCTTGGGCGAGGTGCTGGCTGCAAACTTCCTTCTGGAGCCAGGGATATTGGGTCCCCCCGGGCGTAGGTGACATTTTTGGAACTTTTAAGGTTTCAGAGAGAAGTTGTTACTTGAGGCAATTCCTGTTACTAGTCTGGTGGTTGCTCTGCAGACCCCTGGTAACCGTGGTCAGCGTATAAATGTTTAACAGAAGACTTTGGAATTACTTTTAAATTTAAAAAAGTGTAAGAACTGCGCGCCCCTTGATGCCGAAAGATGTTTTGCTTTCACTCTTGAGTAGTTCTCTAGAGAGCACCTGGGTACAGATTATTTTTATTTCGTATTTTCCCTGGTGGCGTTGGCCCACCAATCGCCATCCTGCGGGATGGGAAGCTACCTGGGAAATTAATTGGACCCGCGCGTCCATTTCTCTTCTCTTGCAGTGTCTCAGTTTAAGATGGTGAATTACTCCTACGATGAAGACCTGGAGGAGCTGTGTCCCGTGTGCGGAGATAAAGTGTCTGGGTACCACTATGGGCTCCTCACCTGTGAGAGCTGCAAGGTGTGTCAACACGTGGCTACCTGAGAGAGAGGCCCTCCGGAGCCCAAATAACCCGCTGGGTCACTTGTTAGAGCTGGG